AACTTCAAGTTCTTTAAACACAACTAGTACAAGAAGGAACCAAAAGTAGAAAACTAGCAAGCAACAGATTTCTGATCCAACAACATTTCTCCCGTTAGCAAATATACATCATTCACAAAAAATCAAATTGGAGCCATTCATCTGACCGGGTATGCATTTGAATTGTCATATATCCACTCTGTTCTGTTTGGCTTGATTTTTATATAAGAAGTCAAGTATTGTTTTTCAACAAACACAAGGTTGACAACATGATACCTTCGTTCCCAACACATTTGATCAAGTACTGCATCTACTAAAGGGCAAATGAAGTCAACAAGAGCAATAAAAAATTCGAGGTTTGGTTTGTAATCCAGTTCATCCTACAAAATCACTGCCTTTTGCATCCTCAAAGAAAAAGGCTGAAAAACAGAGATTATAAAAAATAAAAACAAAAAATTACTCTTTCATCTAAACCAGAAAATTTCCATAACCTGCTTTAAACTCTATCTTTACTATGTGTAACACTTCTCAAAACTTTGAGCAAGACCCCTATTAATTTTAGGATGTAACTAATTTGAACAAAAAATTTAAATTAAACTATCTGACTTGTATTATCCTGTTGAACTAATTCAGCGCGCTCTCTCAGTCTAAGCAGAACTCATTCTCAAACTTATCCAGCGCAAAACAAATGTAGCAGTCAAAAGGAATCCCCGACTAAAACTCAAATTGCACAAGCTTAATATGAATGACCATGGGAAAAATGATAGTTTGAAGACTCTGTAGAAACATAAAATAATAAGAAGTCAACCTGAAAGAGGAACAATTAGGAAAAGCAGACGAACCTTCTGCTGCAAACTATGCAGAACAAGCTACCAGCTTTGCCTTGCTCCTTGTACCGTTTACGAGCACTCGGAGTCACATTGATTTTTTTAGTGAAAGATAAGAAGAACCAATGTACTATTTGCTTAAATTCCTCTGAATTCTCAGGTGGCTCAGACTTGGCAGAGAGCGACAAATTTTCAGTTCCTTCAACATCAGTTGCTTGCATGTCTACTTTTACATCATCTCTGCCTCTCACCCAAACATTTTTCAAAAGATAATGTTTCTTATCAGAGCGTTGCATACTGTTCCAATTAAGCAAACCAGGTTTTACCTGAACTTTTGGTTTTTTCCTACCAGATTTAATTGAACGCTCTTCAACATGTTCTGCTGAATCATAAGGCGTTGACCAATCCTCAGGTGCAGAAATTCTACCAGTTTCTGCACCGAAAGTTCGTTTACCTGCCCTACTGAACCTGCCATTTTCATATTCCAAGGTCTTTGAGAATAACAGATCATCTGCATATTCATTACATCTCTCATCTCTATCTGTCAGATCATGCATTCTATCAAGGTTATTCCGATTCAGTTCACTTGACACCTTAATTTTAAAATCATGCCTTTCTGTATTATAATGACGGTCAGATGAATTTCTCATTCTTTCTTCAATAGGCAGGGAACCAGCAACACTTTCAAAATCATATTTTGTTCGCAAGATATCATTGTCATGTGAAATGCCCAAACTTGACATTTCTGGTTCTCTTAAAGCATCCCTCTCAAAGGATAACCCAGGGCTTCCACAATCTAGATACCTTCCACCATGTTTTAATGTATAAGGCAATCTGCTACAATCGAGGGATTCTGAAGAGAAGTGCTTCTGGTAAGAAGGGAGGCCCTGCAAACTTCTGTCAACATTTGTTAGACACTGCTCATGATCATCAATATGTTTCGGGATTGATTCCTTTCGTGTTAGCATATCTCTTGGGTCATAAGAATCTCGCTCATATAAAAGCTTCCCTCTGTTTAGCTCCTCAGATGCATAATCGCAATACTTGTCCTCCCTTAGCTTTGGTCTAGCATATAAATCATCCTCATCTTCCTTGTCGGGACAAAATGTATCCCGCTGATAACCTATCAGATCCTTATGACCTAATTCAGGAACTCCTCGAGTTTCTGAACTCCGCCTTCGGCCATACTCATTTCCAGAAAATGGTTCCAAGGCCTTTGTAGAGCTCGCTCGGTACATCTCTGTAGAAATAGACATACCTTCGTCGTGGGAATCGAGAAAGCTGCCACCTGCAGACATGCTTCCGAATTCCTTGAACTGAGACCTGCCACTAATGCCTCTAGAAGGAAATGTCAAATCTTTGAAGTGAGGGGCATCCCTTAAAGATAATTCAGGGTTTCCATATCTTTCTATAGCTGATATTTTATCCAAAAATACTGAGTCAGGATACTTGACTCCTCCATACTTAAATCTACCTAAATCCACATTCAACGATGATCCTAAATTCCCACTATGTTCATGATAATTTGAGGGTCTCACATCCCCAGACAACCTGTATCTTCCTTGACCGGTCCCATCTTCTCGAATCATAGACTTGTTTCCACTGTAATCACGCTTCAAATCAGCTCCCAAGGCTCTGTCGCTGGCAATGTCCTTCCCCGTATTACCACTAAACCTACTCTTATCACTGTAATTGCACATCAAACTAGTGTCCATGTCGTCTAACCTATCCATGTAATCGCAAAACTCATACTTCCTCCTCATTTCATCCCTACTTGATGAACTATCATCACAGTTAATCCTTTCATGTATTAGCCCAAACCGGGGTGATCTCAACCTTCCTATTTCATTTCTTCCCCAACTGTAATCTCTCCTTTCCATTGAACCACTCCTCCGGTCCCCACGTGAGGATCCAATACCAGGGCTCAGAGGCCTCATCAAGGACCCATCATAAATATCATGATGTGGAGGCATGAAATGAGATTCTCGACTCAATTCGACCCCCCTGTTGTCCCTTGACCTCCTGTATGATTCAATTTCTTCATACGTTCGAGATTGCATCTTTTCTTTTCTTTTTCTTTTTCTTTTCCCCCGCTCTACTTTTCCTCAACAACTCAGAAAAGGAAAAGATAAAACAACAATAACAATAACAAT